TTTTTTTTGTGGAACCAGGGATTGAACCCAGGCCCTTGTGCTTGCCAGGGAAGTGCTTATCCCACTGAACCATCTCCCCAGCCCAATCAGCTATAATTTTAACTGCAAAAATCATTCCAAGATCTGTATATAAGCTCTCCATGAACTAAAAAGGTGACAAACCTAGTTGCACCACTCGGTGTCTGGGCACCTATATCTCCCTGTCTCCCTGTCACATCTTCAAATGGACAGTGTCCTGGATGGACAATTTTGGTGCTCGTGTTCCCAAGGAGTTCGAGTTTTATCCTCAATCAAGTGAAGAAATTTTCAGACCCTGTCATTAGTGTCCATAAGTCCTTTAGTGTGAGCATACTGTGACTACCACAGTATGGAAAGCTAAGCAAGCAAGCCTTTCCCAAAGGCAGGACTCCAGGTTATCACCCCAAAATGATGAATGCCCATAATGAGATCTGGATGACAGCTGGCTGACCTGCAGGATAAGCTAATACTGACTTGCTTCAACTCCTCCGAGGAACCTGAACAGGCGCTGCCTGAGCCTGAGACCACCCAACCCAGCACCACCACTCACCTGCACACTCTGCTGGTACTGCATCTGCAGAGAACTTGGGGCAGATGTGGATGTGTCCAGGCCAGACCCTCCCTCCACTCGCTGGGAAATGAAGTTGTTTAAGGACCTCAGGGTGGACAAGACAGTGGTGTTCTCCCCTAGATCTTCCATGGCTGCCTTCTTCCTAGGAGACAAAAGAAGGGTCAGAATCAGCATCCCAACTTGCCATCAGGTGCCACCATCTACAGTGCCTCTACATACCCCACTCCCTCTTAACACCTTCCCAGAGCCCATAACCATGCTCTTCAGAGTTGTCTGGGAGCCCACACTGCCAATTTATGAGACAGAAAATAATGCATAAAAGCATGCCACCAATCTTTGGCCACTGTCAGTGTCAGTGCTGGCCTGACACAACCTAGAGGTATAGGCAGCTCCCTTAAGGGGTACTTAGCACCCCAGGGACATCTGGAAATGAACAAGAAACAAAACCTACACCAGTGTCACAAGGGTGTTAAGGGCCAAAGAAATGTCAATTGTGATTACAGTGTCAGTAAGTCACCACTCCTTCCAGCCAGGCACCAGAGAGAAATATCCACCTAACTATTTACCTAACACCCACACTTCCTGATCCTCAGTTTTCCCAAATGAAAATAAGCCTCAGGAATAGCCCACTTTGCAAAGCTGCTGAGAGGACCACAGTCAATGTCCTGAAATTTGAAATGGCAGGTGGGACAGTCACGGGTACATGGTTTCACCAGCACTCTGCCAGTACACTCCCAAAAGCAGCTCGATCTTTACACTAGAATACAGATTATACAGAAGGTGCAAAACACTTCAGAAAGGTACAGAAGAGACCCAAATTGGGTCTTAGTGGCTCTAAAGGTGGCCTGGATCCCACAAGCCCATATATTGAAGATCTGCAGCCAGCAGCTACAGACATCTTTGCATCCCCAACACCTGTGCTTATTACAGTCACACACACATACACACACACTCACACACAGAGTCCCACAAAGAGTGAAATGTCCCATGTATATTTAAAGCCAAAAATCATGTTCTCCAACCTATATACTTTCTGCCCTTATGAAGGGGCAATTCTAGCTGCTTTCGTTCAGGTAACACACTGATTTCCCTTAAAAAAAAAAAAATGAAAAACTCCTCAAAGAAGAAAAAAGTGAGCTGGCAGCTAGCACATGCCTGTAATCCTAGCTAACAGATGCTGAGGCAGGACCATCTTGAATTCAAGATCAGCCTGGGCAACAGAACAAGCTCCTATCTTGAAGAAAAAAAAAAAAAAAAAGTTAAGAATCTTTGCTTGCCTCTTCTGAGTTTCCTATTTAACAAGAGCCTTGGCAAGCACTCTCTCATATACATCAAACAGTGAAAGTGGATGAGAAGGAAGCAGACAGGCTTTCCCAGACCAGGCCTGCACGGTGGGATGCAGCTGGGTTCTACATTCCAAGCCCAAATCCTCCTATTGCCAAGTCCAGACCAGGACCACACTTTACAACCCTCACTCCAGATCACATCCTCTGAGAACAGAAAAAAGCACTGCACGCATGAGCTAGGGTGCCCAGCTCCAGGTTATAGCACTTGCCTAGTATATGCAAAACCCTGTTTTCAATCTCCAGAACAGCAAAAAAAGAAAAAACAAAAAGAAAGAAAGAAAGAAAGAAAAAAAGGTAGAAAGAGGAAAAGAATACTACATTTTCAACTTCCTAGAACCTGGATGTCCCACAGGCATACCATAAAGCACTGGCTGAAACTACATTCTATATGAAGACTCAAATCTTCCAGCCAGGAGGCCACAAAACCTCAACTGCTCTGGAGAATTTGTCAGCTGAAAGTCAGGAGCATACTGCCCTAAGGTCCTCACAAGAAGGTGGCTATGGTGGCACATTTCTGTAACCCCAGCATCTAGGAGACGGAGGCAGTCACTAAGATTTCAAGGTCATCTTGAACTGCATACTAAGACTGTTTCAAAAAAGAAACGATGATTGTAGAAACCAAAAGAGTGACCACGAATCCGACCACTTCTATCCCAGCCAGTCTGCTGGTGAGTTTGCCCCATCCAAACGCATACAACCTCTACAAACCTCAGCAGTGGCTTTCTCAACACAGTTGCTTCCCTGAAAACAGAAGCAACAGCCCGTACAAGCAGCCCTGGCCAGCTCAAGGAGGCAGGGGGACAAGCAGTCACTCTTGGACAGCGACCTCTTCCACTCCACCAAACACTAGTTGGATTCACCCATTCAATTCAGGCTTCTGCCACAGAGACAGGGAGCTTCAAACTACTACTAGTAGCCAAGGCAGACCAAGGAAGTCTCAAAACTGGGGAGCCTTACAGACCCCCACCAGAAGTAGGAATGACGAGAGAGCCTTAGACAGGTCAGGAGGTCTCCACGGTAAGGCACCACGCACACCTCAGTCAGCAGGTACTGGGTTGGGGGCTGTACCCGAGGGGACAAGGACAAGTCTGAGGTCTCCAGAGTGAGAACCATGCAGACCTCAGCCAGGAGGAAAGGAGTGGGGACAGTGCACACTAGGAATGGGACTGTGCCCGGACGGCACGAGAACAAGTCAAAGAGTCTTCAGGATGAGGACCAGACAGACCTAGCCCAGGAGGAGCGCTGCCGGACCATGCCTAGAGGAGGCAAGGTCAGGTCAGGAGTCTTCAGGTGTCCCTATACAAGCCCTGGTCAGGAAAAAAAGGATGGAGACCATGCCTAAGAGGGGGCAAGGTCAAGTTAGGAGTCTCCAGAATGTCCTCGTGCAGACACTTGTCAGGACAAGGGGTAGGGACCTCGTCTAAAACAGGGCGAACACAGGTCAGGGGTCCCCAGGGCCTCGCAGAACCCAGCCAGGACCGCAGAGGCGAGGGGCGAGGCACGAACTCCAGACAGTGCGAACCCGTCGCGCGGTCACCAGAACGCGAGGACAGGCGAAGGGGGCTGCCCCTGCACGCCGCCCTCGGGACTCCGCTCCCGCGACCGCGCTTCCGGACCTTAGCTGCTCACCTCTCTGCCTGATAGCTGTTGCCGCTGCCGCCGCTTGGATCTCCCTCCGCTCCGCCCGCATTCACTTATCGCGAGAGTCGCAGCAGCACTCTCGCGAGAATCAATGCAAGCCGACAAGAATCGAGTCCACCTAGCGCCAGTAGTAGTCTGCAGTTGCAGCGTCTGTAGCTCGAGCCAACTGCTCCAGGAAAGCCCCAGGGAAAGGACGAGAAACCAAAGGCCGAATCACAGCACAGTTGGCTCCCACTGCCGCGCCAAGGGACGCACTTCCACCAAGACCTCCGCCTGGCTCGCGCCCTAATGTGTGTAATTGCACCACCCCACAGTGGCCTCCTAGGGACAAATTTCCCTTCACACTTGATGCTTCTCAAAAACCTTACCAGTGGCATAAGCGCCTGCTTGGCGAGCACAAGATCCTGAGTTCGATCTCTGGCAAAAAAAAAAAAAAAAAAAAAAAAAAAAAAGTCTTACTAGCATCTATTTGAATATAACGTTATAATTTACTTTCCTGGTGCTCTCCAAGTCATCGGAGTACACCGCGGGGCCTTTGCCTGCCTGAGTCACAATGAATGTAGCAAAGATCAGGTCACCAGTTGTGCAAACATTTTCCGCACTTGACAGTAGGGCATTTCACCAGAACAGTGATTTTTCTGTGATTTGCCTCTTTCCACCATCCAGCCCAGGCTTAGAGTCTACCTTGTTTTCAGTTTTTTCCAAAGATGAGAGGATAATATGAAATTTGCATGCCCCTGAAATGGGAAGGGGGAAAAATGGGCTGGAAGACACGGCTGGAGACTGGGCTTAACTCCCTCACCACAACCCAAAACTAAATAGGAAGTAAAAATATTTGACCCATTTAGGGATTAATCATTTGCTAGGACCCCAGCAGCTATCTCTGGGTATCCTGTCTTTCCCACTGGTTGTCAGTGCGAAATCCATCCAGCCAAGACTCCTCAGGGATGAAAGCACCTCCAGGAAGTGGCTTTCAAGAAACCAGTCCATTTAAGTAAATAAACCTTAAATGCAATCCTCTCTGATGTAATACAATCTATATTCTTTCATAAAGCTTTGAGTTCCTGCAAGAGTGAACAAAAATAAATGAACATATCACATAACTGCTTATTTTGGAAATTACCTTTATGGTCATGGAAGACTGCAGTATCACAGCAATACATATTCTCAGCAAATCAAAGCATGTGTGCGCGAATGCATGCACATGTACACACACACACACACACACACACACACACACACCCATTGTACATGAATTCATACCAAATGTCCGCTAAAAGCTCTGGGAACTCTCAATGCTGGAGAATTATTTCTAGATTATTCACCAGAGAGAGCTATTAATTCCTAGATGAAAACTGCAGGGTTTTCTACTTTAAGCTGTTTAGCCACAATAACTGGAAACCTATGCATTATGTTCTGAAAGCAAGAGACGTACACTGTTCCTCTGTAACATGCTAACTTTTGACAGTGGTGGCAAACCTATGTTTATGTGTGTCACAGTGTGTTGTTTCTATCATTGAAAGTTCTAGACGGCTTACCATCACTGATCTATCAGCTGGGGAGCTACATAAAGGCCTATGTGTGTATATGTATCACTACCTATTATAATCTTCTCTTCCATCTGCCTCTTTACATCCTTCAGTCTCTACCTAAGTTTCTCCTCAGAAATCATATAGAAGGCTGGTGTTTTATCTTTCGTCGCCTGTAGATGTATTCTGTCCTATCTTTTCCATTCTGAAAACCAAACTGGCTCCCCATGGTCCTGCTCATCTCTTCAACTGAGCTCTGATCCCTGCCACTCCTCAGAACTCAAACTCTACTCTCAGTTCAAAAGGACCTAGCACCCATGAGAGTAACAGGGAATCAGGATAGAAGATCTAAAAGAATGGCCAGAAACTTCAGTGCTTCACAGAGCCCTTTGTTCTGCGGTACTGGGTGGCCAGGAAGTAGACCTCCGCTGACTCTTTCCTGCTGGCCTCAGGTTTTATAGTCCTCGTGTTCTGGAATTCCTCAGCCAGTCTCTTCTGTAACCGATGGCTCTGACTTCCAGCCCAGGTTTTACAAAGCACTGTTCCCCCAGGATGCAGGATGTCTGAAGCCATGTCTAGAAGGGTCAGACACATGCTGATGAGCCTGTCGTGATCAAGGTCCCGGATCCCTGTAGCATTGGGTGCCATGTCACTGAGAATCACATCTGCCTTCCCACCAGGTAGCAGTTCCATGATTCTCTGGGAAGTTCTAGGGTCAGTCACATCAGTAGGGCACAGAAAAGTTGCTCCTTCAAGAGGGTGGATGTGAAGAAGATCCACCCCAAGCACAAAGCCAACAGGAGAGCCGGGATCTATGGAAGAAACAATCAATGTTTATATCCTAAATATTCCCACAACATTGTACCACAAACTGATGAAATCAGATGTCAGCACTGAGGAAGACAGATAATGTACAACTATGCATGCCTGAGGCCTTTTCCTGCCACCTAAACGTCTTATGATGAGGCAATCAGCTGAGGACACTGAGGTCCAAAAAGGAAGCTGTTATTCTAGTCATCCTGAATGGCAGGTGAGCTGGGCCACTGTTGTTATTTTGTTACCTGAGGTTCCCTCTCTGTGGAGTCTTCTGGGCAGTCTTTTGCATAAAAGCAAAACAGAAAGTGACTCTCTGAGATATAAAGCACCTCTGGATTAAATCCATACATCTATTATCCTCCAGCTTAATCCAATTCTTTTCAATGTAGAAACTGAGAAATCCAGAGAAGGGAAATGTGCAGTAAAAGAAGTGAAACACAAAAACTGATACCTTGCCCATATTTATGGGAAAAGTTATAAAATAAAAAAGGATGCCAGCTTCAACTAACTTTGAAAGAAGACTTCCTGCATATAACTGCTCTCAAAATACACCCACTCAAAGCTGGCCTTTCCCAGTGCCTGTCAGTCCCTACATGAGGAGTACTTCAGCTCTGATGGTCAGCTCAAGCCTCAGGTTTGCCAAGTTCAGGACACTGTCACGTTTCCAAATTGTTTAATCAAAAGGCCACCTGGAGCCTAGGCATGTAATATTGTAGTCCCTTTGGGAGGCTGAGGCAAGAGGATCCCAAGTTCCAGCCCAGCCTCTATAACTTAGCAAAACTATCTCAAAACGAAAAATGTAAAGAGAAATTGGGAATGTAGCTCAGTGTAAAGGTTCTTGGTGCTAAGTACCTGACCCTCAAAAATAAGCTGTTCAAAGAAAAAAGATTTATTTTACTTCTAGGAGAAAAAAAAAAAAAAAAGATTTTTAACACTTCACTTTTCACAAGTGAAAATCCTCAATTTTCAGCCCAGAAAAGTAGAACACCTCTCATCTCATTTTTCTTGACCATAAGATTACCCATGTGTTCTTGGGTTCTGTCACTTCTTCCTAGAAGCTATACTGGGATATTTTCCTACTTCTGAAGAGTAATTACAAGAATCAGCACCACTATAATCAATTAGTAGGAAGCTCTCTAATTGCCAAGTTGCCCAAGCTAGACTCAAACTTTCCAACGTCCTACCTCAACCTCACAGAGTGCTGGGATTAAAGGCATATGCCATCTCTTTCTTAATCAAGGGCACTATATCACATAGGATAGAATACCTTGTTTAAATTATAAAATATAAAACACAAAAGTTGGTTTGACCCATAGTGGAAAATCCAGCGTCCAGGCCAAGAAGCCTTTCAAGACAGCAGCCTCAACAGGCCCACTATGAGACCCTAGGACATCAAGAACTAGGAAGCTTCCAGGGTTGACTCAGCTATGCTGTCATGGAATGATGTGGATACATATCATCAAGGGAAAAAGGTATTCTGTTAGGACCAAACTAGCTGGAAAAGTAAATATACATGAAAAAACAAACTGGAAGGATACACAGCAACATATTAGTACTATACTGGGTGGTGTGATTTGACTTTTCTTCCCCCTTTCAGACAAGATCTCACGATGTAGCCAAGGCTGGTCACAAACTTGTAGTGATCTTCCTGCCTCAGCCTCCCAAGTGTTGGAATTACAGGCTTACACCACTATGCCCAGCAACACTGTACTTTTCATTTGCCTAATTATGTCTGTGACTATGTGGAGCTGGGGATCAAAGCCAGGGCCTTGTGCACACTTGGCAAGCTCCTATCACAAAGTCAGAAGTACAATCCTTATCTTTTATGTTGCAACAGTCAGCTTCCTGATTTTATGATTACTCCTAATCTATCACTTCAGAAGTAGATATCTCTGAGAGTGACTCAACTGCTCCATGTTCCCAAGAAAGCGCAGCTCGCTAGCATCCCCTCAGCCTCAAGGCTCTCAGAAGGCACGGACAGTAGCATGGAGGCCCCACCTGTGCCTGTGGCATTGACCCTCGGCACTGCCACCTGACTCCAAGCCCCAGGAGCTGCCCCACAGTCCAACACCCTGAGGCCCGGTCGCAGAATCCCATGCTTCTTGTTGATCTCCAGGAGCTTAAAGGCACTCCGACAGCGGTAACACTCCACCTTGGCAGCCTTCACATAGGGGTCCTTCAGATGACGCATCAGCCACAGGTGCTCGGCGCCTGTCCGGCCCTTGTAGTGCCCTGCAGCAGTGTGGAACCTCTTACGCCATAAGGAAGCGCACAGCAGTTTCCAGGTGCTAGTGGGAGACAAGGGGACAAGCAGGCTGGCATCACATTGATGAGGAAGGCACAGCATGAGGGGTCTCTATCTCAACCCACTCATTTTTAGAGATAGAGCACTGAAGCCCAAAGAGAGGAGGCAATCTGACAACAACCTGCTGAACCTCATCCCTTTCAAACTCACCTTTCCCAGAAATAATGCTATAGTTAAGAGTTGAGGAAATAAAATTATGAAAAAAAATTAAAAATAAATAAAAATGTAAAATTAAAAAAAAAAAGTTGAGGGATTCAAGCAGATAAATAAGGTAAATTATGGTCACTGGCGTGGACCCTAATCCAATCCAGCTTGTGTCCCAAGATTAGGACACAGACACAGAAGGATGGCCAGGTGAAGACACAAGATGGCATCCACAAGCCAAGGAGAGAGACCTCAAGAGGGACCAGCCCTGCCCATACCCTGATCTGTGCCTTCAAGGCTCCAGAATGTGAGGCTTGAACACATATCTGTGTTTAAGGAGCCTGGCCCACCGTGCTTCATCACCGCAGTCAAGCCAGCTGACATCCTACAGAAAGGTTTCTGCATCCTGAAGAGGGAAGGGCTTTTTCTCGGCTGAAGGGTTTCTTCAGAAGAAAAACTCAAACATCACTGATCGTCATCTCACTTATAATAACCAACCAACACTTTCCCAGCGCTGGATAATAGTACTGATAACATTAATGAAAAGAATAATCCTTGCTCCTCTGGCATAAATTCTCACTATGCTGGACGTGGCGGTGCAAGTATGGAATCCCAGCACTTAAGGAACGTGAGGCAGGAGAATTCACAAAAGCTCAAGCCAGCCTGGGCTACAGAGGGAGTTCAACACAGCCTGAACTGCATAGCGCGACCTCTCAAACCAAGGAAAAGAGAGTGAGAAAGAAATGTTCACTGTGTTCTATAAGAGTACAAGAAAACACCAAGTCAGAGTTGAGCCTCCGTTACCCCTCTCCACATGCCCTGTGAACTCTGAGGGGAGCTGTCGGGACCCATTGCTCAGTTCCACGTCCCGGGTCACAGTGGGCTAGCACTGCCGCTTTGGAGGAGGAAACTGGGGAACTGAACCTCGCCCGCTCAGTCGCAAGCAAGCGGGCACAAAGCGCCCCCACTCACCCCGCCATGAGCGCACACTCCGGGCCTCCGTACCCCACCGGAAATCTCGGTCTCACTTCCGGCTCAAGGCCCGCCCCTTCCAGACCCGGAAGCAGCGCGCGGGTGAGAGCGGTGCCCGGACGTTTGTGCCGAGACTGGGGCAGCCGACGCTGCTCTGGGTGAGCCGGGCCGTGTGGCGAGACCAAGAGGTACCCGAAGAGACCGGGCGAGGTCCAGAGAAGGTAGATGGGATTGGAGGGAGACCCGAATAGCGTGCCAAGGCGTGAAGGTTGGAGGAGTACCGGGGAAACGGTAACAGGGTCCAGTGGTCAGGGCGAACTGGACCAGAGGCCCGGGCGGGGGCAGGGGAGGCGCACAGCGGCGTCGGGGACCCAGCACTTACCGAGCGTCCGCTGCTTGCCTGGCTGAGCGCTGGTACACACTTGCATTGCCTCCATCTCTGCTAGCAGCCTTTATTTACCAGGCTATTTGGTTAAGAAGCAGGGTTGCCTGCACCTAGCCGGAGGGACTTCCTAGAGGGCCTTCCGATTTACTCAGGATCCGTAGGCATAGAAGACTTTGGCGTCCTGTACACCCAGGTTTAGTTACTGGCCCTGCCTTTGCGACCAGGGGTCAAACTCAGATTCTGAGCTGCAGTCTTCTCAGAAAACGGGAAAGTAAACCTTTACTCCTGTCAGTGTGTCTGTTGTGGAGGATAACTTGAAAGTAATTGGCCCCCTGTGTGCTTGGGTTCAGCATCAATTTGACCAATATATAAGGAAATTTAGCTAGGCGTGGTAGCGCAAGCCTGTAAGCCCAGCGGATCATTGCGAGCTCGAGGCCAGTCTGCGTTACAAAGTGAGCTGAAGGCCAGCCTCAACTGCATAGCCAGACCCTGTCTCAGAAAGGAAAAAAAAAAAAAAATCAGAAAACTAGTTTATCTATAAGGACACATTTTCCTCCTTCTTTACATGATACACTATAACTGTTTACATTACATTTACATTATATAAGGGATAAATCACTTAGAAGATATTTAAAGTATACAAGAGGTTGTGCATAGGTTATGTACAGATATTACACAATGTTACTTAAGAGACATCATTACTAGAAAGCAGGATCCTGGTACCTTGAGGAACTAATCTACTTCCTTGGTCCTCAGTTCCTTGTGCTGACAAGACTTGTCGGCCAAGCAGATAAATAGGATTTATTGTAAAGTACATAAAGACATAATTATACCTTCTGGCAAGAAGGAAGGCAGTCCCAGGAAGACATCTGCTCTGAATGGGAGTTTGGATATATATTTTATGGACCCAAGAGTTACTCTTGGTATCTAGGGAACTAGAGTAATCTAGATGCTCCTCACAGTTTTACTTAGAAATTACAAAATTTCTTCCTGTGTTTCTTCAGGGGCTTTAAGCATATAAGATACTTAGAAAAAATAGTTCATTTAAACCAGGTCCTAGCCCAAGACAGGAAGTTCTTTAAAGAACATTTCCCTTCCTGCTAACTGCACTGTAGGCTGTGACCGCCAGCAATGCAGCATGCATTCTTACAGAGTTAGATGGCCAGGTGGCCAGGTATCAGAAGGAATATGCACAGTGTGCAACCTTACAATGGCATTTTACTCTGTAGGCCAGCTTTAGGTTGGAGACCTAACAAATTACCCTAAATGCATTATGCATTTAAGGATTATTTTAATTATCCGGTGATGTATGCTATTTTGGACACCATGCCACCCCTATCCCTCAGGCATGCTCAGGTCTATCTGCCTAATAACAAGAGCATCCTCAGCTCATGAGGGGTCCCTGGAACCACAGTCTTAGAAATACAGAGAATCACCTATATGTAGTCAGTGCTTAATAAAGAAAAGCTGATACTTTGCTAACAGTAACAACATCAGAGTTACTTAGGAAGTCAGGGCCTCAGGTACAGGCAAATCACTGACAGAACAGATAAAAGCCTCATGAGAAGCCCAGCCCCAACCCACAGAGTTGTCCCCTGCTGACAATCTCAGTACAGGCCTCAGCTTCAGATCCCTTTTCTTAGACCTGTAACTAGCCAGAAGGATCGCAGGTTCAGAACCCTGCTCTGGACTGGTATGTTTCCCTAGGCCGTACCCTGGTCCTGGTGGATCCTTCCTCTAGCAGGGCCTGGCAGAGGCACTGTGCACACGTGCAAACACACACATACACACACACACACAATATCTTTCTTTGGACCATACACATGTGGGAGCAGGAAGGACCCAACAATACTAATAGCAGAGTGAGACAGGCCTTCCTGTTATGGGAAAGTAGACCCGCCCTGTCTGGAGCATGGCACTTCCTGAAACTCTGGAGGTCTGTTACTGCAGAGAGCCAGGTCCCAGTAGGCTGGAAGGAGCCCCTCTGACAAGAACCACTGGGTAAACTGCATGGCTCTCCATGGGGCCAGCCTACCCTGCTTGTGCATACAGGTTGGGGTTCCCAGGGTAGATATAGGAGCAACACATCAGCCTTGGGAGGGTTATGTAGTCCTATAGCCAAGAGTATCAGTGAGTGGGAAAAGAAGTTGAGACTGTTCTGCTGAACCAGGTGTGGCACTGCTTCTATTAAGTGCTGAGGGGAGACTTGTCTGGCCCAGAACAGAATTGATTCAAGGTCATGTTTGAACTAAGCCCTGCATCACAGACCTGGGAAATTACCACTAGGTAATTTCTACCTCCCAGGGTGCATCTTCTTCCCACCAGGCCACCAGCTCAAACACATGCTGTACATACATCTGCTTATGCTCCCCTTTAGGCTGACTCTGCCCTCTTGCTCACAGAATCCCAAAGAGCCATGGGAGCTTCCAACATCTATACCTTGGTGCTAGTAGTGCAGCCTCAGCGCGTGCTGCTGGGGATGAAGAAGCGGGGTTTCGGGGCTGGCCGCTGGAACGGCTTCGGGGGCAAGGTGCAAGAAGGAGAGACCATTGAGGATGGGGCCAAGAGGTAAGGTGTGAGCTCCGGTTCACAGCCCGCCTGGTAGGGGATGAGGATGGGTGTAGGGCCACATCCAAACGTGACCACCTAGAGCTGTGTGATTTGGAACATGTACTGAACCCTTGAGCCTCTTTTTGTTTCTTCCCCACACCAGCCCCAACCCTTTTTGAATCACTTGTTTATATTTTGAGATAGGATCTAAGTTACCGGTTTGTCCAGGACGCCCTTGAGCTTTCCATCTTCCTGCCTCAGCCTCCCAAAAATACTAGTATTACTGGGATGTTCCACATCTGGATGAGCCTCTGTATCTTCATCTGCAAAGGGGAATAATAACCTTTGGCAACCTCTTAGGAGTGTTGTGATAATAAACAAAGAAATGCATGCTGAGGACTGGGACCTGCCTGCCTATATGTACGGAACATGTTAGCTGCTCCTGTGCAGTGGTGGCTGTGTCCAGGACAGGTAGAGCACTGTGGTTTCAGTCACACAGTGCTGGCTTTGTTATGTAGCTACAGGGGTCATCAGCAATTTGGTTTCCTCACTTTTTGGGGAGCTCATGATCAACTTATATAAGCCTTCTGCACACACAGTCTCAATGCTACAACCTGCTCCCTATGGGAAAGAGCTGAAACCAAGAACGGTTAGACAGCTTGCCCAAGATCACACTGTCCTCCAGACATCAACCTCTCTCTCACAAGCTCGTAGGGATAAATGAGGTTGTCAGTGTAAGCACTGCAAAGCCCTGCACAAAAATAGTTCTTGTTATTGTTGTTCTGGTTATGTCAACCTTAAAGCCACTTTCCCTGAAGGAGAATAAAACCCCAGATACAGAGAGAGGCTCTTGGGGAGGAGGGAAGAAAGGACCCTACAACCTAGAGGCTGTTTTTTGGGGTTTTGTTTCGTTTTGTTTTTTAATTTCAACTCACAGTAAAACTATGTCTCATCTTCCAGTGGTCTTATCCTCTAGTGCATACTTAAGGGTTCGTGTGCAGATAAAATAATCCCTTATTACATGGAAGGGGCATCTCTCATTCTTTTTTACTTGCTCATTAATTTCATAGGATATAACAGAATCGCAGGCCTCAATAAGAAGAGCTCTGCACAGCGTGGGGAAAGACACATCTAGTAAGTAGGCACCCATATTTTCGTCTGCTGGGGTGTGTTCAGAAGTGAAAGTGGACATGGACATTGGCCCAAGGCCTGGTTTCCCATCTTCTGCCAGCATTATGGTTAGGTCATGAATTTGTGGAGCCCTGTACTCTGTTGCACTGAGGGACATAGAGAAGACCAGGTCATAGCCCCCCTGTACAGGGCTTCCTCGGTCAGGAGAGATAAACAGCAAGGAGGTCTGCCCACACCCAGAAGTTTGGGTGTCCAGGACAGGGTGGAGAATTGGGCACAGGGGGATCTCTCCAGGGTCCTGACAGAGGCATGGCCTTCACAGCAGCACAGGGGCTCTGTAGAGAAGTGGAAACAAGCAATTGAGGGTCAATAGGGAGGCTGAGTGGCCTGGACCAGCTGGCTCCGTGCCAGCTGCCTGTCTTGCTGGTGACAAGTGTAACTCACAGGTTCCCCTCAGCATCCTTGAGGTGTTTGCTTATGAACTGTCTCAGGGTCTCAACTACGTCCTCCTGGTCTCGTAACTATCACTCATTTTGGGATTGAAATAAACACAAGAAGCCATTACTCCATACTCTCACAGTTAAGCAGAACAGTAGTTCTTCCTCTGGCGACTTATGAAGTAGGAAAGGCGATAGGTATGGTGCAAAAGGCAAGCCTTCGCCTCAGAAGGAACCTGCGTCCATCCAGGCTCTGCTTCCTCCACTACCATTTCCAGATCACCCGCTCACCTGGGCAGGTGCAGCAGTCCCTCACTGGACTCTTTCTCCTGCATCTGCTCTGCAGCCCATGCCCTACCTGGCTGACAGGCCTGTGCCACACTGTCTGGGTCCCTATCCACCCCTCCCCATTTTCCACCCCAGCATTTGCACACATTCATGTGAAACACTTTAACAGGTTCCAGTGCTCTTAAAATGATCACCTGGAGCCAGGGATGTAGCTCAGCAGCACAGCACTGGCCTTGCAAACACAAGGCCCTAAACTTCAATTCCTCATACCCCCTGTCAAGAAATCACCACCTGTTATTCACTGAGTCCTACCAGGGCCATGGTTAGGTATTAGATTTGTGGAGCCCTCCACTCTGTCCTGCTCCCTAGGGCTGTTGTACACCCATTCTTCCCATCTTCTCTCCTGGCATGACCCACCTCGGCCTTCACACTTTCTTCCCAGAAGCACTCTGAGACCAGAACTCCCGTTCATGTCAGATTTTTCCTGCAGTGTAACATGTGTACAAAGTTGCCCTCTGCTGTGAATTTTAAGGAGTTCCCATCTAATCAACATGCACATCTAATAACAGCACAGGTGGCCTTGGTCTCACTGCCACAACTGAGGACTTGGGCCTGGCCTGAAGTGTCAGGTATGTGGTGTTTGCTGAGGGACCCTGTGTGGCCTCGTCCCAGTGTTACATGTGTACATGGCCATGTCCACTCCTCCTTGCTGTAAGACTTCAGCACGAGACATAGCACATCCATCCACTCAGCTATGGGCATCTGGTATATTGCTAGTTTGTGGCTGGTGGAGGGTGAGTGACTCTGAAATCCTGTGTTGAGTCTACACCTGGGGCGGGGGGGGGGGGGGGGAGACCGCAGTTGCTGTGGGCTGTAGGGGATGCTGCCAGGCTGTTTGCAAAGCAGGAGTGCTCATTTGAGCTCCCCCCACGGGGTCTGCATCCTGGTTCTCCTGAATCCTCAGGAGCAAGTAGGGGTTTCTATCTTTGTGCTTGGAGCATGTTTGCCCTGATGAAAGAGTGGGGAAGCTGGAAGCTGGATGTCTGCAACCCAGCACAGGCATGGTTGTGCACTGGCCACTCACTTTCTGCCTTTTTAACCCAGTACCTTTTCCCTACCAAACTGTGGTCCTTTGTGCATTTTAGATATGATTTGATACATTGCGAAGACTTTCCACTCTGTGGCTTTCCTTTTAATTCTCCATGTTTTTTTTTTTTTTTCTTTTTGCATAACCAGGGATTGAACTCAGACCCTTGCGCTTGCCAGGCAAGCACTTATTCTGAGCCATCTCCCCAGCCCCAATTATTGACATTTTAATACACAGATTAATGTTAATCTCATATTTTTTTCCATATGGTTAACATCTTGACACTTACTGAACTTACCTGCGTATTGAAACCTTAACAAGATTTTTTTTTTTTTTTTTTATGGAAACCCGGTTTTTTTTTTTTTTAATTTTTTTTTAAATATTTATTTATTGTGTGTGTGTGTGTGTGTGTGTGTGTGTGTGTGTGTGGCCAGCTCAGCCCACCAGGGGGCGGGGCTGGCTGGCATGTGGTGCTGGGGGATTGAACCGCGGTCCCTGTGCTTTGCTTAGCTTGTTCTCAGTAGGTGCTTTAGACCACTAAGCCATCTCACCAGCCCAAGATTATTTGTTAAGTGTCTCTTGAACAGAAATGGAGGTACACAACCATGTAGAATTGAGTTTCCACATAGGACAGCAGGCCCGTGATTAGGGATTGTTTTCATATAGATATCTGATTGGCTCGTGCTGAAGAATGTTTCCCCTGTGCTGACACCTCCGTCCAGATGCAGTGAAACCACATCTGCTTGCCTTCCACTATGCCCAGCTCCTGCAGAGGGCAGGCCTTCCACAGGGAGTAGGTAGCAGAGTAAGGGATGCAGACTCTGCAGCACTGACTAGATGCCAGTGGCCATATGGAGTCTGGACTGAGGACACAGCAGCCTTTGTCCTGACCTCGCTGCAGATGGCTGAATGGCTTACACTCTGGGGCTGTATGGATAGTCCGTATCTCTACAGCCTTCCTGTGAAAATCCCATGGTCATGGGAGTTCACGTGCACCTGTAATTCCTCAGGACTTGCCCATTGCCCCTGCTGCCCCAGCTTCTTTCCACCCTGGGCACCCAGCCATGGGCCAGGACTGGTTTCCATGCTTCACAAACTCCTGAGGCATGGAGCAGCAGCCTTGCCCGTGGACTAAGGTCAGAAGCTCAACACCCACGGCCACACTTTGCTTTGGCCTCGTGGGCTAGTGTCCTTGGACTCCCAAGGGGCTATGATAAGTCCTGCAGAACACCAGCTGAAAGTGCAGTTCAAGATGTGGTCAGGGTAAGGGACCCTTTGACAAGACCACCACGCCCCTCCCCTGGGCGATGAGAGGGAATACAGGATGGAAAAATGCAGGGATTCCACAGGGATGAGGGTACTGCAGCCAGACAGGCTGATTGAGGAACCCCAAATCCTTGGGGATTAGCTGGCCTCCCATGTGCACATCTGATGAAGAGCACAGCTGCCCTCAGGAGATCCCAAAGCATCCTCTTCCAAGGAATCTGGTATGGAGGGGCCCTGTCTCTGTACTGCTCGGCCCTGTCCATCCAAAGGCTCGAAGAGCACACTATGCCTCAACAGCAGGGCAGATCTGAATGATTATCTGCTCCCACATGGTTGGGAAGCCAGTGTGTGCACAGGGTCCTGCTACCTCTGTCTAGGGGCAGGCAGGAACTTGGCCGACCTAAAGTTTGTGAGACAAGTGCATCAGTCCTCTGGTGGGTTTTAAGTTTACAGTATAAACATTATTTTCTGCTAGTAACACACCAGCAACAAGAATACAGAGACCAGTTGCAAGAAAAGCTGATGCCAAATGCTGAAGCTTCCTACCCCCGCCTCTACTACAGAGGGTGCTTTCTACTCTATTTGTGCTTAATTTATTGCTCATCCTGTTCTCCATATGCCATATGCATCACAGATTCAGCCAGACACTCTAGCAAAACTGTAACAGGGTCGTCTTCGTCTGTCTAATTATCCCAGCCTGTGAAATGGAGTTTTAGTTCCATCACTGAGGAGATTATTGATATGGCATACACTGCCACTTACTGGGGGAGGATTAACCAAAATCAGTCAAAACATTGTATCAGTAGGGGATGATGTTTAAAGCAAGATCTGCCAGCCTGCTGCCAGACGCGGGGGAGGCCCTGCTGAGCACTTGCAGTATGTTTAATTGGGGAGCCGCTGCACACCCACCCTAAGTGAAACTCATTTCTTAGGTCAGGTCCAACTTTAATTAACTATCTCAATGGATGTACCGATTTCTCGGGGCTGTGCGTCTGATACCACAGCAGAGAGCAAGTCAAGAACCATTTAACCGAATGTGTAAATAGTGCTTTGCATATAAACATTACCATCCTGCCTTATTACAGGCAGAAGGGAACAGTTTTGTTCCTAAAATAACTCAAGAGATGAAAGCTAGGCAAGATTTTTCTTAGGTACACCCAGAAATGGTCAGACACAAGTTAATCTAGGGGAGGGCTGAAGCAAGGCACCTTATAGCAGGAGGGGACCTGAAGACCATAAGATTCATCAGTGGTCTTGCTTGTCTATAATCCCAACACTTGAGAGGCTGAAGCAGGAGGATTGCTACTGAGCCCAAAGCTTGCCTGAGCTGTATAGCAGGATCCTGTCTCATAAAAAGTAGCCGTGTAGAAACCAGTGAGAGGCAAGTAAGACTGGGCAGGAGGGTTGTTCCACACACATCTCAGTAAGTGAACATTTTGAGGTACAGCATGTCTTCATTAAGGGATGTGCAAAGAAGAGAGACCCAAAGGAAAATTACTAGAATGACACCAATAGTCCTCTGTGGGTGATAGGTCTGTGGGTGTGTTGTTTCTTGAGCTCTCGACAGTGAACATGTAATTTTAAAGACAAATTAGCAGTAGCACAAGATACTTAGGCAAGCCAAGCTGGTCCTGTTTGCATTGAGCAGGAGGGCTTGTTCCAGAGTAGGATCCCTTACAGCTCCACTAGCCGCTGGTATCCCAAGAGGGAGGGGACTGTGGAGGGAGATGCCTAAAATGTATCCTGCAGATCAATATTCAGAAGAGCTGGTTCAATGGCAAAACCTAAGTCAGAAATAAGACCCTCCTTTAGGAGGGACCCTCAAGGCATGAGATTTGGTCCTGCATTGTCAGTCAGGGCAGCAGGCCTGAAGGACATTATTTGGGTGCAGAGCACAGAGCCCAGGCTCTGGATCATGTGTGGGGGGCTCCAGGATACAACAGTTGGCAGGAAGCTCTGAGTGTCCACCACAGAAGAGAACAGGGCCTGAGTCTGAAGGAGCAGGAATCAGCTCCTGCCCTGGTCTTATTCAAGAGACTTCAGAGGTACACAGCTCCTCACCATCTCTTAGCCCCTGCCCAAAGTCTCCGACCGGAATTCCTTTAGTTTTTTTGAGCCAGGGTCAAGCCATGTTGCCCAGACTAGCCAGGTTAGTCTTGAACTCCTATACTCCAGCAATCGTCCTGCCTGTGCCTCTGAGTAGTAAAGGTATAGGTATATACCAAAAACTGCCTTCTTTTAAAGCTTAAACTCTACAGTTAGGCCAGGTTGGGACCTGCTAACATCCTCCAGATGATATCCTCCTGGGATCTTCAACCCACATATCCCATGTCAGGGGTCTCTGACTCCTATGGGCAGGCACTGTGCTTCAGTTGATGTGTCTTCTGTCCGTCTCTGTTCACAGGGAGCTGCAGGAGGAGAGTGACCTAACTGTGGACACACTGCAGAAGGTGGGCCACATCACATTTGAGTTTGTGGGTGTCCCTGAGCCAATGCAGGTGCACATCTTCCATACTGACAGCGTGCAAGGGACGCCCAGGGAGAGTGATGGTGAGTCTCGGGGCTGGTTCACCACCCCAGTGGGGGAGGGTCGCCTGGTCTCTTGCCTGGCCATCTCACATGGTAGTGCTAGGCACAGGCTGAGCTTCACAACTGGGGGCACAGGGAAACCATTTTCATGCTCCGTGAAATAAGAACAGTCAGATTCAGCTGTCCATAGAGATAGCTCAGTGTCATCTCCCGAGGGCACAGTTCCATCTGTGATAAACCTGCTACCTTTATGCTCCTTGATATAGAAATGCGCCCTCAGTGGTTCCTGCTGGACCAGATCCCCTTTAGTGACATGTGGCCTGATGACAGCTACTGGTTTCCACTCCTGCTTCAGAAGAAGAAGTTCCGAGGACACTTTAAATTCCAAGACCAGGACACCATCTTGGACTACTCGTTGCATGAAGTGGATGACATCTAGCATGAGCCACTGTCCCTTCTGGGTCTGGCTGCTGAGCAGCCACAGGCTGTTCCAGCTGAGCTCAGGATGCCACAGTCAGGGCTATGTCTGCTCTTTCCGAAGGTGATTGGGCAGAAAAAGAAATAAAGGTCTTTGCTTTATTTTAATGGTCTTTACTAGGCACTGGCACATCCTACCCATCCCTGCCCACAGGAAGCCACCAGCTGTGCTGGGCTGACCCTGGCCTGCTGGATAGAGATGGAACAGGACAAGGAGGACCAGGTCTGCCTAGTGCTGCATGTGGTTCTCTCGCCACCACCCCCTTTTTGTGATTCTTCCCTTTTCACAGTAGGGGAAGATGAGGCATGCTCAAGGGCTCAGGGTCAAGCCCCAGATTTAACATATCCCAGGTTTGTTCTGTTCCCTTTGCTGCCCCCAACAGAAAAGTTGTTCCTTCTCTGTGAAGGCCACTAAAAAGGAGAAGAAAACACCCATTCCACAAAGCACCTACAACACGACCCAACTTTCAGGCACATTTAACAACTTCATGCGTTTGTGGATAAAACTACAGAATGCAGGTCGTGTGTAAACAGTTCCAGTTTATTAGATGTGGCAGTAACTAATTCCCGCAGCCATGCAAAGTGCTTCTTAGGTAACCACTGGCTTGAGCTGCACAAAAAAAATGCCTTCAACACTAGAAACGGTGCCGATTTCAGCTTTGGATCCTACACAGGCCCACAACAATCTTTTCCTTCATGGCCTCAGACCCAGCCTCACACCACCAGAGCTTTGTGGGCCTGACAGAGACAAGCTCTGCACTTCCTAGTGGCAGTCACCTCCCTCTGGCCACATGGCCATCTGCAAAACCACAGCTGAGCACCCCTTGGTCTTCCTCACCAGGACAACAGGACTCCGCATGCCAGGCCTCATCCCTTATGAGGATGTTGCCCAGCATCTTTCTATCAGGCCAGGTGTGGCCATAGTGGGGTACACAGGCTCGACAGCAATACAAGGAGTTGGGATCCTGGTCCCTGCCACCATGAGACCTTCACTCTGGAGCTAGGAGGTTTCCTGCCTAGGGTCAAAACTGAGCAGGCACTGCCAGCCCAGGCGTGGGGTGCTGCTGCACTAGCAGCCCACAGTTCTCGCAGGTCCCTGCCTGAAGCACTAGGGGTGGGACAGGGCAGGCAATAAGGAAGGAAACTCCCATACCCACTCCTGGGGCATAGGAGTCACTGCAGGGCATGCACACTGCCCTCCCCTTCTGCTTCTGCCTTCTCCCTGTCACACTGCTATGAGAGGCCATCAGGTACACAATCTTATATCACTCCCTCAACCCCAGTTCTCTGCCAGTTCTTTAGACAATAAAGTTTGTTTTGGCCAGCCATGGTGGCATACCCATGTAATTCCAGCTATTCAGGAGGCTGAGGCAGAAAGTTCAAGGGCAGTCTGATTATTTAGCAAGATCTTCCCTGAAACTAAAATTTTGAAAGATCGGCTGGGGGAGTAGATCAGTGGTAAAGCACTGATTAGCACATTCTCTCCCTGATTCACTCCGCAGCATCACACACACACACAAGTACATCCTGGGAATGCATGTCCCTGGCCCCAGGGCCGACACACACACTCACTCACTCACTCACTCACTCACTCATATATGTATATTCTGGGAATGTCTTTTGGAATTCCTCCACTGCCTGGAGATGCATGCTCCTGACCCCAGGGCCTCTTCCTAGCAGCAGCACAGAAGGCATTAGAGTCAGGGCTCCAGGAACAGTTTGGACAGCAACTCAAGGCCACATGGCAGAGGGAGGTCCGGGGCAAGAGCCACCTTGAACCACAGGGGGCCAGTCTGCCCTGTGGCCAGCCCGGTAGCAGGAAGGCACAGGCAGAATCTGCCCATCCACATAGGAGCAGTATTAAATCATAGCCACCACATCCTCCCAGTGGGTCCCACACAGCTATCAGCCAGATCAAGGCGGCCCTGACTCTGGCCTGTCAGTGTGAGGACAAGATTCAGAACCAGCCAGGCCTCCGTCTACCCTGGGAAAGGCAATGCACAGTAGGCAGGAATCATGGGATGGGAAAAACTAGAAATGCTGTGAGCCTCTTCTAAGTCTTTCCCTGGCCATTGAGGATAGGGGTTGACAACACCTGAGGCCCAACAAAAACCCTGTGTGTCCATTACAGGAGGGATGAACATAGCCATCACCTAGACCTGACCCCACAGAACAGGCAGCCAGCTCTATTCAGCTTGAAATGCCCTGCCCTGGGCAAGCAGGCAGGAGGGCTCTATAGTCTCCAAAAAAGGAAAATGGTTTCAAAGGCTCTACTCCACTGATGCTGCCCCCCTGAGGCCCAGTCAGCATTCTTCCTATGCGGCACCTGCCCCCTGCATCCCACTTGCCCCCAGCCCACCTCACAAACCTCAGTGCCCCACACCCTGGCCTCGAACAGTAGCCACCAAGAGTTGTAAAGGAATAGCTTCCAGCCTCTGATAGACAGGAGGTGCCTCCTTACCATCACCCCAGAGATCTTTACACCTATCGCACTCAAGACATGGACCCTTAGGATCTTGCATGCGTGCACAGGGGAGCTCAGGATACCTGGCCTGGCGGCAAGCCTCAGCCCAGGCTTGCAGATGTTTACTGGAGCATGTCCCCTGGACATTCAGGGACTTTTTGCATTAGCTCGCCTTCCTGCCTTGCCTTCCGTTCTGGTGCACATAGCAGTGGCCCAGCTGCTTGTGTCTGGGGCCCCCGTCCACAGCCTGAACTTTGCCCATCATAGACTGGCTGTCTCCTCACCTGATGGCTACCTGCCCACAGGACAGCCCTGCCTGCCCTTGCCTCTACGGCTGACCCCTGCTCCAGATGAACACCTCTGGACTGTTTGGGTACGGTGGGGAGGCAGGGGCTGCTGTGCACACCTGAAGGCATGACCTGCAGTGCAGGAACAATCCTTGTCCCCCAACTCTAGCAGAGAACCCCAACTTCTCCCCTGGGGGGTGTACAGGGTCTATAGGCACAGAGCTGGTCAGGGGTGCAGCCTCCCACCCAGGAATGGGGTAAAGATAGCTGGCTGTGTCCCCAAGGACCTGGACAGTATGAGCTCCTCTGCTTCAGCCCCTCCAGGTACCATAGGGCAGCAGCCGCCATCCGAAGGGAATCAGCCAGGGACACACTATTTGGAAAGAGGTTTTAGTGAGTCACAGGGAGCTCTGCTGTGGCCTTGGGAACTAGTGGGAACATAGGCTGTCCTCTGCAGGGGACCGTGGTGGAGTCAGTGCATTGTGGGGTCCAGCAAAGAGACAGCTGAGCTTCGGCTTCAGATCGTTCCACACCTTGCTCATCTGCAGGAGAGAAAGGCCCCCAGTGAGAAAGGGACTATGTGGGACATTTGTGCTACAGGTGTGGAGACCAGCAGAGGGCCCACAGTGAGTCACCTTCCCACCCTGCCATAGGCCATGACCACAGCTCCTGAGAGTGAGCATATATCAGCCCATCCCATTCTTCAGTGGGGGCCATTCTCCCAGGGTCACAGGTGGCTTGTCCACAGTCACACATGTAGGACCAAAGGGCCATCACCTGATCAATACGGAATTTTAAGAAATGTGACTGCCAGCACTGAGGGAGGCTGAGGCAGAAGGATCACAGTTGAATCTCACCTGGGCAAATTAGACTGTCTAAAGTTTTTTTTTAAAAATTAGATAAGACTAGAAGTATAGCTGAGTGGTAGAGCAACTCTGGATTCAAAGGAAAGAAGTGTGGATCACTCCCAGCAATGTGTCCCACAGCTTCACAACTGGCCCTTTACCTGGCCCAGCAGGTCAAGCCCAAGGCCACATCCACCAACTTAACAAGACAGGACAGGACAGGACAGAGGACCTAACAACCTACGAGGCATTTTCACATTTAAATATGGGTAGGCATTGAGGAGGCCTGGCTATAAGCTGGGGTACAGACCCAGGTATGATGTAAAGGCTTGTATGACAAGTATGGGGAGACGGGATTAGCGAAACGCTGGCCATGAAGAGACATGTTCCATTCATGACAACATGCCTGGCTGGAATGCAGCCCTCCTGCTACCAGTCACACAGTCCTTCACTGATACCTCCTTCCATGATGGTTAAGGATCTGCCCTGTGACTGGTGGAGCATACTACTGGGTGCAGCTGGGTGGCCTCAGTCTAGTCTGGTCCCTGGCCCCTTCCTCTCTGGTGCTAGGGCTCTCACCTATCTCCCGGCCTCTGTGAACTAAGCAGCTTTCCTCTGCCACATCCTTCTGTCATGAGGTTTCATGCACAGAAATTGTGAACAAATTAAACCTCATTTAAGTTACAGATGTCAGGTATTTCGTCCAGGGGTAGGAAAGCTAACACAGCTCCCACTCTAGTCTGTTGCTGTGCCCCCAGTGGGGCCTGCATTTCCCAAACTGTGCCTGAAGTCACCCCCACAACCAGCAAACCTACAGGGCATCACGGTGTATTTCACCATGGATAGTATACTGCTTATAATACATGGAAGCTGTGACATCTGGAGATAGTTAATGACAGAATGGAAAAATGTCCTTTGGCTTAGCAGGCGCTGTGAAAACTAGGCACCGTGAACAGAGAACTTCAGCAGCATGGGAACTTCTGCCTCAGGCCGAGGTGACTTCTCCCTTGAGAGATGGCCCTCCTGCCACCAGGCAGTGTGCTCTGAGCACAATTCCCTGAGCCCCTTTCCCACTGAGGCAGGTTGTGCAACTCCACACCTGGCACAGATGCCCTCAGGCAGTTCTGCACTCTTCGTCAGGGCTAAGCTGGCAGCTAACTGGCCGATCCTAATTACTCCTGACCGTTTTGGTGACCTCCAGATCTGAGTTCATGTGATTTCCTGTCCCCTGATCTCACCCAGGCTCTGGACAAGCCTTGGCCAAGGCAAGAGAAGCCAGCACCCTACTCACTGCCTTACTCTCTGTATCCTGATGTGACAGGGACACTAGAATCTGCTTGTGCTTAGCACCTGTCACAGATGCCCAGGCCAACCTCAGGAAACTGGCAGAGCCATACTTTTTGCCATTTTTCCATAAGAAAACTGAACAGCAGAGGTCAGGAGAAACTGCAATACTCATGTAGAAGGGACTTGACAATGAAGTGAATGAACTCTTGAGCCTGGCCTCCTCCCCTGCTTCAAATGGCCGGAGTGGCCACACAGAGATGTATCTTTTTAGGAAGTGTCCATGTTCCCAGTGTTAAAAGGCTTTTCTGATCACTTAGAAAGAAAGACAGCCACCCAAGAAACATTAGAAAGAGGAGCCATGGGGATTATACCAGGGCCAGGAAAGAGAAACAAAATGGAAAAAAAAAAGGTTTTGGCAGTACTGGAGATTGAACCTAGGGCATCAACAATGAGTTACATTCCCAGCTCTTATGTTTTTATTTTGAAAGAGGGTCTAAATTGCCCATGTTACGCTTGAACTTCACAGTCTTCCTGCCTCAGCCTCTCAGAGTGCTAGGATTACAAGAAAGTGCCACCATGCTTGACTATCAATCATTTTTTTAAGTGTTGCCCGAGTTCACAAGTATTCTAGGCTGACTGGAAATGGACAGACACATGCTGAGAGGAATAAGCAAACAACCAGAGATGTAACCTGGAGTCATCAGCTCTAGGTCACTCAAACCCAGTGTTTCTCAGGACCATTCACAGTATCACTTCTCTAAGACCAAAGGAAGCTGAGTGCAGGTTTCTAGAAATGTAGCCAGTTTGTTTTGTTTCTTATGTAGGATAGGGTGTACAGGCTGTATAGGGTCTCAATGCATAGATTGGACTTGTAGTGATCCTGTTTAGAGCCTCCCAAGTGCTGGGATTACGGGCACATGCCACCATGCCCAGTCTCAATTGCCCAGTCTCATTCGCCATCTCAGCACACCTCAGGGGTGGGGCTGGCATGGCACAGCAGGCCAGGTGATCCACTGAGCTATTTGGCCGGCCCCAGAAATGTAGCCAGTTGATTGTACTTCTACCATGAAACCTGACTCTCAGCATCCTTCCTCTCAAAGAAATGCTCCTGAGTTCTCCAGTCCCCCTGGAAGGGAATAAACTATCCTTTCTGGGCTCTCTCTGTTCCTCCCACCAAGAACCATAAGAACAATTTCAAAAGTAGTTATCAGAGTCAGCACAATAGCACAGTGGACTAAGCACCTGCTTAGGCAAGCGCAAGGACTGGGGTTCGATCTCTAGCACCACAGCCCTCCACCCTGGGACATGCTGAGTCAACCACTGAGACCAGTGTGGTAGTGCACACCTGTAATCCCAGCACTGGGAAGGCTGCAACAGGAGGATCACTATGAGTCCAAGCTGCATAGTGAGACCCTGTACCAAATAGAGAAGGAGAAGGAGAAGAAGAAAAAGAAGAAATAGAAATTATCATTCTGGTCACATGAGACCAGAGGATCTGAACAAGAACTATGCTTTAAGCTCCACTCAGGCCCCAGCTCCATTAACTGAGTGACTGACAAAGAAAGAAAGAAAGAAAGAAAGAAAGAAAGAAAGAAAGAAAGAAAGAGAGAGAGAGAGAGAGAGAGAGAGAGAGAGAGAGA